CAGACTTATTCCTAGGTATTTTATTGTTCTGGATGCAATTTTAAAAGAGATTATTTCTTTACTTTCCTTTTCTGATTCTTCATTATTAGTGTAAAGAAATACCACAGATTTCTGTATGTTAGTTTTTTATCTTGCTACCTTGCCGAATTCTTTTATTAGCTGTAGTAGTTTTTGTGTGGAGCCTTTAGGATTTTCCATTTATAGTATCACGCCATCCTCATATTACGACAATTTTAGCTGTTTTCCTCCAATTTGGATTCCTTTTATTTCTTTTTCTTGTCTAATTGCTATGTCTAGGACTTCCGATACTATATTGAATAGAAGTGGTGTGAGTAGCCATCTGTGTCTTCTTTCAGATTTTAGCAGAAAAGCTTTCAGCTTTTCACTGCTGAGTAGTATGCTAGCTGTAAGTTTGTCATAAACAGTTTAATTATGTTGAGATATGTTCCCTTTATACCCACTTTAGTAAGACTTTTTACCATAAATAGGTGTTGACTTTTATCAGATGTTTTTTCTACATCTATTGAAATGGTCATGTGTTTTTGTCCATTCTCTTGTTGATGTGATGTATCACATTGATTGATTTGCATATGATGAACCATCCTTGTGTCCCTGGGATGAATCCAACTTGATCATGGTGTATGTTCCTTTTGTATGTTGTTGGGTTCTGTTTGCTGACATTTTGTTGAAGATTTTTGAGTCTTTATTCATCAGTGATATTGGTCTATAATTTTTTTTTTATTGTGTCTTTGTCTGGCTTTGATATCAGTGTTATGGTGGCTTCATAGAATGAGTTTGGGAGTATTCCCTCCTCTTCAACCTTTTGGAAGAGTTTGAGAAGGATTGATAGCTTTTCTTTGTATGTTTGATAGAATTGTCTAGTGAAGCCATCTGGTCCTGGACTTTGTTTTGCAGGGAGGTTTTGTGTGGCTGTTGTATGGCTGTTCTTAGTATGGATAGTTGCCACATCTTTCTTCCATGATTGTTAGCGGTTATCCCTGTGAGTGTATGGTTGGTGTTGTGGTGTTCAGATCCTTCCCTGACTGTTGTTGAGCTGGGCCTTCCTTTTTGTTCTGTAGTTTTCACATCCCTGGCATGGGTCCTGGTCTGCACCCCTGTTGCTGGAATAGATATTTATAGACCTGTTTCTGTGCTGTGGTGTGTAGCAGGCAGGGTTGGAGCACTTCACCTGGGAAGAAGAGTAGGCAGGAAATATCCACCCTCTGTGATGTTGTTTGTCACTTGTTATGTGGGCTTACAAAGTATTCTTTCTTGACTGCAATTGTCCCCACCTTAGTTGCAGAGATGTCAGCCACCTGCTCTGGTGTCCCACAGTTTCTGAGCTCCAGGAACCACCAGCATAGATCCACCAATGTCAGGTACTAGGACCCACCATAGCAAGTATGCAGTCACACACTTGAATCTGCAGTGTGCCACAGGTTTAGTGTGGGCCCCAGCCCTGTCTCCTCATATTGTATGGTGCACTGGCCTGTTATAAATTTTGTCCTAGAGGTGCAGGTCCACAAAGGTTCCAGTGGGAGAAAATCTATTCTCTTCCAGGAATTGTCAAGAAATCTCTTTCCCACTTGTGAAGTTGCAGGGCCACTGGGTATAGATTCAGCTTTCATCCCTACCTCTGTGTAGCAGTGATGACTATTACCAAGCCCCACCTCTCTTCTCAGAACACACCAACAATGGAGCCAAGCAGAGATGGGGTTATGGCATGGCTGTGTTGCACCACTCCCCCTCACATACACCAGCTGTGGTGCTTTTTTATGGGGTGTCCCAGGCTGTTCTGTTCTGCACAAAGCACCAGCCAGAGCTCATGCCTCCCTCCAGTCTCCTGATGCTGCCTCTGTGCAGTGGCCCCCAGCCCTCTGCCTGGACTCCTTACCAATCTCCAGCAGTCTCTGCTCATCTTTTCTGGCTTGTGTCCAAGGCTGGGGATTGCAGGGGCCCTCCATGTCAGTTTCCCTTAGTTCTGTCTTCCAAGTGGTTGCCACTTTCTCCTCCAATCTTCAGAATCTCTGCTTCTTTCCCTGCTGATATCTCAGCTAGAGAGGGGGAATCCCTGCATGAGGGTGCCTTTCTTCCTATGCTGCTCCCTTCCTGCAGGACTGGTCCTTCACCTATTTTTTTTCTTTTTTCTTTTTTCTTACTAAGTTTTGTGAGAATCCTCCTGTATTTCAAAATAAGAGACACTCTATCAGAGTTATGTAGATATCTGTGAGGTTCAATGGGTTTGTAGAGGTAATTATTGGTGTATTTGTGGGAGAGGGTGAGCTGCGAGTCTCTCTACTCTGCCATCTTGGCTCAACCCCTATCAGTTTCTTTATATAGTTATTTGTTTCCCAGAAATGATATCTTATAATCTTCTATTTTTAGATTATTTAATAGTCTAGACTGGTCTTGTTATCCCCAGTCACATTCTATATAGAGGGAGTGATGCTCCCTCTATATATCTATCAGTAATATTTCTAAAGTGTAAAGCATATAATATGACAGTTTTTATAAACTTTGGGGACTCCTGGTAACTTCAGGAGGAATTCTAACGTTCTTAGCACATTAGTACAAAGTTCACCTTATTTTGATCCTCTGCCAGCTTTTTATTTGTAAGTGTCTGTCATAATCCTACATTCAGTCATCCTTTGGACCCATCCCAATTGAATTATCTGTGATTCTTGGAGCATAGCATAATTATCTGTGCTCCCGTGACTCATCAGTTGTTTGTGTCCACTTGGAAAGCAACTCTCCACTTGGTTTGCCTGACTAAATTATTATGTTTGCAAAAATATGTTAAATTACAAATTAAAACTTGAGTATATGTATTGTCTTTTAAATATATGATTTAGTATTAATTACACAATGGTACTTATTTTAATCATTTAAATATTATTTGCATGTTACAGACTACATAAATCCCAAATTCCTCTATGTTCTATAAATTTGTGATGCTAAATGATTTGTTACTTTCAGGCAGTCACAGTTAAAGCTTTGAGGGCTGAAGGACTTGGTAGAAGTCTTTTCCTGCCACTTGTTTTGTGAAACTAAGAAAGTCATTTAATATCTTAAGCTTATTTTCTCAGTTATTAATTGTGTAATAGTATGCTACTTGCTGGGGATGGGGCCATCTATTTCTCCCTTCTCATAATTCTAATGAAGTAAGAAAATTCTAAGTGAAGTAATCCAGAAAGAGAAAGAAAAATATCATATGAGATCACTTATATATGGAATCTAATCAAACAAACAAACAAATAAAAAAAACCCAAATACAAAACAGAAACAGACACATAGACATAGAATACAAACTTGTGGTGCCAGGAGAGGGGTGGGAAGAGACAGACTGGGAGTTTGAAATTTGTAGATACTGACAGGCATATGTAGAATAGATAAACAAGATTATACTGCACAGGGAAATATATACAAGATCTTGTAGTAGCTCACAGTGAAAAAGAATGTGACAATGAATATATGTATGTTCATGTACAACTGAAAAATTGTGCTCTACATTGGAATTTCACACAACACTGTAAATGGGCTATAACTCAATAATAATAATAATAATAAAGAACATTTGATCTTTACACTCAATGATGTGAAGGGAATCATAGGAGAAACACTTGCAGCTTCTCTCTGTCTCCTCAGTTTTTCTTTCTCACAAAAGAGAGTCTAATTTGATCAAAAATTTTGAAGAAGTAAAAAGACTGCCCAGTTCAGTCTCTTCTTTTTAGAGTCATCTTTTTCTCCAGGAAACACAATCCAGTCTGCTCTCTGATGTGTTGTAAACATAACGGGGAAAGCATTGCTACTTTGAGGAAAGTGGATTGTCCAGCTCATTCAGTAACTGAGAAAGAAGTCTGTTTACAATGAAGTGAAGTGTTCATTATTCTTTTTGGCTGCAAATCTAGAGCTATATTATTCAATAATCTTTATCAGTATGAAAAATTAAGTTTTTTTTCCATCTGCCCTAGTCTTGTTTATTAAATCTCATTTGATTCTGAACTTTGGGAATAACAATATAATATTGTTGATTATTTGCCCCAATAGTGTTGACTACAGTGCTGATTACATGGGAAGATGTGATTAAGGTGCCTGCACAATGTGTAGAACATCTTAAAAGTTCAATTAATAGTAGTTATTATTATTTAATTGAGCTACATTCACTATAAATTTTTTAATGGAGGAACACACTTTTGATATAATCATGGAAACATTGTGTTCACTTTAACAATAATAACACCCCTCAAGAAGGTACTAACTTAATTTTGTGATTACAATCTATAGTTTTAACTAGCCAGATCCCAGGTGTTTGATGTCACATGAATAAAATACTGTGCCTTAGGAGACTCAGTTTTATTGTTATGTGGGTAATATGGCTTCAGGGAAAAGGCACAATCCATGAGCTTCCACCCTTGGAATAGGGTGAAATTAAGTTCATTTATTCCTAAAATCAATATTTCAGTATTTTTCTATTGGGATCAGCTTTTTTTAGAGTTGCCTTTGCACTTTATTACCTCATCTTATTCTTCAATTTTTATTTGTTTATTTTTTTGCCCCAAACTTGGATATATTTTGATCATTCACTACTATGAAGAGCAAATGCCTCTGGCAGTTACTACTTTTAAGTAACCTTTCCTATAATTACCAGCAGAAGCAGTAAACTTATAAAGGTTGTCAAAATGATGAAGGACTCTCCACAGTGACCTTTGATACCTCCAACATACTGGGCTGTGTGGAGATGGAAAATGAGGGGTGGCATATAAAGCAATCTGAAGCAAAAGAGAAACACCATTATTCTGAGAACAACAATGCCAACAAAGCAGAAAAAAAAACTTTAAAGTTTTTTTTGTTTAAGAAACCAAAGTAAAAAGAAAAAGGGAGAAATAAAAAAAAGAAAGAGAAGAAGAGAAAAAGAAAGATAATACATGGCATTTCTAAGTAAACATTATTTGGACAGTCCTCTATAGAAAGAGGTATTACCCTCTTCTGAAGCCAAGGTAAACAAGAGAAGGGAAAGAAGGATGGAAATGAGTATTGTCATTGCAATCTACTATGCAAAGGGCACATATTCATCACAATCATGTTAGAATGTATGTATTATCCCTCCCTTTCCTTTTTGATGTATGGTAGTACAAAAGCACAAAAAGATTAAGCAACTTTCTAGAAGTCACCAGCAAATAGATGTCAGAAATAGAATTTAAAAGAAAAGTATCTCTTTTCCAAGATGCTTATGAGGATTGAATTAGTTAATGTTTGTAAACATCTAATACACAAATTTTCTGGAACATAATTTATGTTCACTGAATTATAGCTATTATCATTGCCTGAAACATTTGACAGAGAATGCCTCAAATATTGGGATCTCTTTCCATGATGCTTAACAAACATTTAAGAAGCTTCTATTCCACTCCAGAAAATTAGTGCATGGAGTAATTTCTCTGCCCTCATGTAGTTTACAATACAGTGGGAAAGATGAACATTATACAAGAAAACAAACTTATAACAAATTAGGATCAATCTTTGGCTGAAGTCTTCACTAATATGCAAACAAACTCTTATTAACATTGAATATATATTCTCTTTGCTCATACAGGATTTTAAGCCCCTGACAAATCCCCTATCTCTTTCTAACATCTCTGAGAATTCCCAAGAGGTATTCACTAATATTCATGAAAAATATTAATTTGCTTATTGCTACTATTTTCCTACTAAGTTTCCATTAGTTATCCACCATACCCCCAGTGGTTATCTGGAACACTTATGTTCCTGTTTTCATAGATCACCCACCTCATTGGGTACAGTCTTCCAAGGGCCTTCAAATCTTCAGACCACTTTGTGATTGTAACGATGTTATGTTACTCTATTCTTAACTGAGCAGAGACAAATTTCTTTTTGCAAATTTGGTAAATATATATCTTTCTTCACTGAGACTGGTCAGAACCCAGAGTCATGTCCTCCCTCTTTTGTCTTTATTTAACCATCACTCTTGGCACTTGGATGCCTAGTATCTATATATTGCCTAAGAATGACTTAGATTAGATTTTATAGTAAGTATTCAGCAAATAAATATTCTGTGTTTAAGGAAAAAGTAGAAAATGATAAATAGAGACATATTTGGAACAGTCAGCAGTGGGTATGAATAGTCTCTTCAAATTCTCTATTTTTTCATGTTTTGTGACATCTCTTTATACTTTAAAATTTTACTGAAATATAGTCAATTACAATGTGTCAATTTCTGGTGTACAGCACAATGCCCCAGTCATGTATATACATATATTTATTCATTTTCATATTTTCAGATTCTTTTAAAAGTACAATTGCTGACTCACTACTGAGAAAAAAAGTTGATCACTTGTGAGTCCCTTGGAGATTTCCACAATAAAATTTTTGGTTTGTATCATTAAAATGGAAATGTAGGGCTTCTTTATGAGTTTATAACCCCTAAATCTATAGGAATATGTGAAAGGCTGTGACCTCCAATTGTAATTATGGTTGTCATCATCCTGAAAAAAGGAGGCCAGCACCTATAAATACTTTATGGGATGTAATGGTTTCAAAATGACTTTTAGAAGACCTAGCCAAAGGAAAGGAAGTAGAATGCTAATTTTAAAAGGTGATTTTTTAAAAAGATACAGAAATACCCAATATTAACCTGGCTGTTTAATCTAAAAACATATGTCATAATTATTTGGTGATTAATAATGGTTTCAACTCTAAACAATAGCACAATATTCCAACAAGCTCACTTTGGTTTGAACCATTGGGGGCTAAAACTAATGCTAAATGCTAAGCTATAAGTCAAGTTCCTTACCTGTCTTTCAGTCATTATAGTGCAAAATGGAAAACTGCAAAACTCTCACATTATTTTATCAGTATTCCCCTTCTGGTATTTAACATTTTGTATATCATATTATATTATATTTATTTCTTCTCTCCTCCTTAACTGTAAGCAATAGGGTAGAGCACAGAAGGGAAAAATAAAGATTCAGAAATTAGCTCTGGCTTCATGTCTACCAAATGTACAAATTTGTATGTGTTATCCAATTTGCTTGCTTGTCAAATAAGAAAAATGATGCTTCATTGCAGTTTATGGGCATCAAATGAATGAGTAATATATGTGAAAACACAAAACATCAAGCCTGATTACAATAGTTGTTTTTTTAAGTGTCA